ACAGGGTCACATCTAGGCGGGTTTTGAAGACCTCCAGAGAAGGAGACTCCACAACCTCCCTGGGCAGCCTGTTCCACTGCTCTGTCTCCCCCACAGTCAAGAAGTTCTTCCTCATCTGGAGATGGAACTTCCTGTATTTCAACTTACACCCATTGCCCCTTGTCCTGTCACTGGCCACCAATGAGAAGAGCTTGACCCCTTCCTCCCTATATTCTCCCTTCACGAACTTATATGTGTTAATCAGATCCTGCCATGGTCAGGCAGGTTAATCAGGTCCTGCTATGGCAAAGATAATACATCCATTTTGATAAGACAACATACCCATCTAGGTAGGTCAACTAGACCCAAAAGACAGCTTCACTTGAGCACAAGGCATCTTTCCATGACACAGGTCTGCACTGTCAAGGCAAAACACCCCTCCACATGGTTAAATTAGACCCAAAAGACAAGTCCACCCAACCCAAAATGAGGCTTGCTGAAAGTCATCACCCTGCAAGGAGTAAGTACCTCTGGCCTCCAGGCTGGTGGGCTGTCCTGAGGGATGCGATAGCCTCCCTACGGAAGGATTTTCTGTCTCTCCTTGCTGCCTCGCACACCTACAGTTATTCTGTTTGCTTTTCTTTCTCTTTTCTGGTGTTTTTGGCCTGATCCTAGTCTTCAGTGCCTTTACACTATTCAGGAAGCTCTAGGGAGACAACCCACACTGACACTATGCCTGCTGAGCTATAAGATGTAGTTTTTGCTCATTTCTCTCTCTCTTATTTTTTTTTTCTCTGAAAGCTTTTTTAGAGGAACATGCACCTGCTCACTCCTCATTCTTCCTTCCTTACTTACATCTTTACCTTTTTTATACCACCTCTATTTCTGCTCTTCATGCCCCTCTTCTCATCTCGGGCATCCTGTGGTCACCCAAAGCACCATGTGTCCTACCAGTGCCTATGACCGTCTCATTATTGGTTCATCTGAGGCCAGGCAGCTCATTTAAACAGAAAACTCTTTGTCTTGTCCCTTCATGCCTGTCTGTCTGTGCCCCTATCTCATTTGCCTGCCTCAATCTGTCTCTCCAAATGCTCTCTCCCTCCTCCTTTCGTTTCCGGCTCCCCCCTTGCCTCCTCCTCCACCCACACAATTCCCTTTAATTAGAAATACGATGCAGATGATTATCACTATGTCTTAATCGGGAAGATTTCCCCAGAAGGAAAGCCCTAATTTCCCCCTCCCTTTTCTTGTCCCCACCTCCAAGGAAGAACGCACAGATCAGGAGGAGAACAGGGTGAAAAAGATGAAGAATGGAGAAAGTCTGCGAGAAAGGTTCAAGGAATCTTATGAAATTCAATGAGGACAAATGCAAAGTCTTGTGTCTGAGACGAAAGAGACCCTGATAAAAATAGAAACGGAGACTGACTGGCTGGGATGCCAAAAAAATACAAGGAGTCCTATAGGGGAGAAGGGGAGTTGAAAATGAGCCAGTGGTCTGCCCTGGAAGTAAATAAAGTATCCTGGGCTTTATGAACGGAAGACCAGCCAGAAGATCAAAGGGAGCCGTTATGCAATTCCCCTACTCAACACTTGGACTATTTCCTGACCTTGTGCTCGGTTTTGGGGTCCCTCAGTGAGATACTTTGAGCAATGAGAGTGAGTTTAGCAGAGGGTTACGAAGATGGTTGAGGCTGGAGCACTTGCCCCATGAGCAGGAGCTGAGGTAGACAGGTTTGCCCAGACCAGGGAGGTTTTGTAGCCTCCATCCTTGGGCTTTTCAAAATCTGATTTGGTAAAACTCTGAAAAAACAGGTCTGACCTCATAGCTGACCCTACTTGGAGCAAGTGGCTGGGTAAGAGACCTCTTGAGGTGTCTTCCATCCTTATCCCATGATCCTATGACTAGATCTAAGTCTCAGACTCTAAGATCAAGACCCTGATGAATTCACAGCCCTGAAAACTAAGGGAGAAGAAAAGGAATGTAGTAGGGATGGGAAAGAGCCATGAGAGTAGATTTTACAGCCAATTCATCCTAGGCTCTGGCCTTTAATGGGATAAGGTGAAGCTGAAAACACACCAACCTACAAAGCTAAATCCAATTTATAACATTTCCCTATTAATTGGCAATCTCATGAAGGGTCACTTCTAGGGATCACGGATAAAAATCATTCCGGAAGAAAACTTCTGAGATATATGGATTGTACAGTCTTACCCATCATATGGGACCTCTTACAATTCAAGACAGGTTTCAGGCTCTCTGGGGTATAGCAATCACAGCCTGAAAGGTTCCCAAATCCTAGGATGAACCACATTTGACCTCTTCTAAGCACAAGCAGGCAATGCTTAGAAGAAACTTAATGCTGGGTGAAAAGTGCCTTGCCTTAAGCAAGGCAAAGGGCATAGCACTCTCCATCACCCAAATCCTTACTGAGATGTCTGTGTATTGGGAAGATTTGTTGAATTAGGCTTCCCATCCTCAAAATTTGGACCTTTTCTCACTGGAACTCCATACTTTCAGCCAAATTGCATCAGCCTTCTGCCTATTGCCAGCAGATCAAGGGAGGGGATCCTGCCCCTCTCCTCAGCTCTAGTGAGGCTGCACCTGGAGTATTGTGTGCAGTTCTGGGCTCCCGAGTATGAGGGCTGTGGAGCTTCTGGAGAGGATCCAGCGGAGAGTAACCAAGATGATTAAGGGACTGGAGCATGTCTCTTATGAGGAAAGACTAAGCCAGCTGGGCCTGATTAGCCTGGAAAAGAGAAGGTTGAAAGAGGATCTTTTCAACATGTACAAACACCTGAGAGCAGAATGTAAGGAGGAAGGGACTAAACTCTTCTCAGTGGTGGTCAGTGATAGAACAGGGGCAACAGGTATAGGTTGAAACCTAGGAAGTTCCATCTGCATGTGAGGAAGATCTTCTTCACTGTGAGGGTGACAGAGCCCTGTAACAGGCTGCCCAGGGAGATTGTGAAGTCTCCTTCTCTGGAGGGGTCTTCAAAACCTACCTGGATGCCACCCTGTGCCATGTGCTCTAGGTGTGCCTGCTTGAGCACGGGCATAGGACTAGATGATCTCTAGAGGTCCCTTCCAACCTTAACCATTCTGTGATTCTGTGATTCTGCTAGCTCTCTGCTGCCCTAGATAGTCCTTCCATTTTCTCAGCAGCCATATGGCAGAACTGCTTGGCAATGTGCTAGTACCAGGTCGCCTGGCAGGGAGCTGACTTTTGTCCTTCTAGAGCACATTTATGAGGAAGGTGGAGTGAGAGAAGGTGTCCTGACCCCTCTCCTTCATGCTCTGCATTGGTTTAACCCCTGCCAGTTAGCTATAAATGTATTTGACCCAATACTCTGGTTGCCACGGTCCTCCTTTGACCAGTGCTCATTACATAAACTACCCACTCTCTTCCACCACTACTTCACTCTCTGCAGGCTGGATTTACACCAGGAAACATCCATCAGGGAGCAATGGGAGTGGGAACCCACCAGAAGCCTTCCTGGCATGTTGCCCACCACCCCAAGTGGAGGCAAGATACCTCCTTGCTGTCCATGGGTTTGAAACCCCTTGGGGGCTAATATTCATGGGTCAGCATCCCATTGTTCCTGGTCACTGTATTAGGGGGAGAGAAGAAGCGCCCGGTGTCCTCAGCATCTGTCTCTCTGAGGGAGGTTCCGGCGGGGAACTCTCCCTCTGATTAGGGAATCCTTTATCTGCGGCTTATATAAGACCCCGGTCTCCTTTTATGGTTGTCTTTTCCTGCTTTGTCAAGAGCGGAGAACAAATGCAGCTTCATCTGCGCTTGTGGGTTGGCTAACTGATTAAGCATCTGATTCAAGCCTAGTACGGAACAGGCTTCGGATGGGTGGATTTAATTTGGTGTAAAAACCTGGATGCAATCCCTCCCTCCTCTCCCCCCCCTCCCCCCCAATGAATATTCCCAAAATAGCAGTTGGCCTAGTGTAATAATTAAGCAGCAAGGACGACTCCCATCCAATGCTTTAACAGATCTGGAGTGCTCCAGATTGTACTGAAATGGCTTTTTTAGAGTGGTTTCCTCTCCCCCCTCCCTCCTCCCTCTCTTTTTTTTTTTTCCCCTCTGCAATGCATTTTCTTGCATTTTTCCCGAGCATTTGCATTAGGAGCGAGCGGCTCTGTGTGTGCAGGAGTGCGGGGGTCTGTGGGCGGCTCTGTGTGACACGCCGAATCCATCCCCATCTCCCCCTCTGCAAGCCCTGCCAGGGGAATGTGTGCTAATGATGACCTTGCTGAGTAAATAGTTGTGGAATGAATAAGTGTTTTTTCTCCCCCCTCCACTCCCCTTCCCTGCGCTCCGAAAGGCGGAAGGTGCGATTACTCATCCATCTACCCAACTGTCTCCAGCACCTTTCAAGTGCTTTCTCGCGTCGAGTCTGGGGGCGTGCGCGAGGGGGTGGGAAGTGAGGGGAGGCTGCCAAGATCTGGGTTGCCACAGACACCGGTCCTCGCTTTTTCCTCCAATGATCGCTGCGCACAGCGTGCAGGAGGAGGCAGGGCAACACCCACGTGTTGAGCTGCGTGGCGTATAAGTAGATGGAAGTGCCTGGACTAGTGGCAGTTCAGGCAAGGGATGAAAGCAGCTCTTTGCATCTCTAGCTAAAGCAGCTCTCCAAGTTTCCTAGGGAAGGAACTGATGGGATTTTAGCTGCAGCTTCCAGCTTCTGTGTGCATTTGTATTTCACCGGAACAAGGAGCTTTCAGCGGTTGGAGATTCTCCGCTTCGGATGAGCAGGTAGCAGGCACGCTTTCGGGACCGGATATCCTAGCCAGCTCCTCTCCTCATTCCCGGAGGATTCTGGCTGTTTCTGGGACACTCTGAGCACGTGAGACCGGGGTTTCCAGCTGGACACCGGGAGAAATCTGCCTACAACTCTCTCCGAGACTCAAGGGGACCAAACAGCTTGCTCTGTGGTGATATCTGATTTGGTTGTGTTTGTGTTGAAAAGTCCTTGGAGGGGGGTTTGGAAGTCTCTGTGTGTCTTTTGAGAAGTGTTGTAGTGGGGTTTTAGAGAGCGGGCTTGAGAGCCAGGGCATACAGTCCAGTTCTTTCCGTGTTTGACACTTGTACGGTAGGAGCCATGCAGCTGGATAATGTTACCAATGCTGGCATCCACTCCTTCCAGGGGCACCGTGGAGTTGCCAACAAGCCCAATGTGATCCTGCAGATAGGGAAATGCAGGGCAGAAATGTTGGAGCATGTCAGGAGGACCCACCGGCACCTCCTGTCTGAGGTCTCCAAGCAGGTGGAGCGCGAGCTGAAAGGCTTGCAAAAATCAGTGGGGAAGTTAGAGAACAACCTAGAAGACCATGTCCCAACTGACAACCAAAGATGGAAGAAGTCCATCAAGGCCTGCCTGGCCAGGTGCCAGGAGACCATTGCCCACTTGGAGAGGTGGGTCAAGAGAGAGATGAATGTTTGGAAGGAGGTGTTTTTCCGTCTGGAGAAATGGGCAGACCGCCTGGAGTCCATGGGAGGCAAATATTGCCCTGGGGACCATGGCAAGCAGACTGTGTCTGTGGGGGTGGGAGGCCCAGAGATAAGGCCAAATGAAGGGGAGATTTATGACTATGCCCTTGATATGAGCCAAATGTATGCGCTGACCCCTCCACCTGGGGAGGTGCCCAGCATCCCCCAGGGCCATGATTCCTACCAGTGGGTCTCTGTGTCAGAGGATGCTCCAGCCTCCCCAGTGGAGACGCAGATCTTTGAGGATCCCAGGGAGTTCCTGAGTCACTTGGAGGAATACTTGAAGCAGGTGGGTGGAACAGAAGAGTATTGGCTCTCTCAGATTCAAAACCACATGAATGGCCCAGCTAAAAAGTGGTGGGAGTACAAGCAGGACTCTGTAAAGAACTGGGTTGAGTTCAAGAAGGAGTTCCTGCAGTACAGTGAGGGTACTCTGACTAGGGATGCTATCAAAAGGGAGCTGGATTTGCCCCAGAAAGAGGGAGAGCCTCTGGACCAGTTCCTGTGGCGCAAGAGAGACCTGTACCAGACTCTCTACGTTGATGCAGATGAGGAGGAGATTATCCAGTATGTGGTAGGCACTCTTCAGCCCAAACTGAAGCGCTTCCTGAGCTACCCCTTGCCCAAAACTTTAGAGCAGCTCATCCAAAGAGGAAAGGAAGTTCAGGGCAACATGGAACACTCTGAAGAGCCCAGCCCACAGAGGACCCCTGAGATTCAGTCTGGAGACTCTGTGGAGAGCTTGCCACCCTCCACCACTGTCAGCCCTGTGCCCAGCAATGGGACACAACCTGAGCCTCCCAGCCCACCAGCGACTGTGATATGAGCTTGTCCAGCCGAGGTGGCAGTCTGGGTTATATGAAAGGGAGAAGGGGGTGTATTTAAGGAGCTTCTCCTTGGAGGGCAATTCTGGCTGTGGCGAGACATGAGGTGTGCTCAGTCCAGCAGCCCACAGCAAAGGAATTAACTTTGCTTCGCGGGGGGAGGGAGGCGAAAGGGGAGAGGCACCTTAGGATGAGGTTGCCCACCTACCTGAGCCATGCAATCCGGTGGTGTGGAGGATACTGCTTGCACCACTGCTGGGGACAGACAATTTTATGAGACCCCTGAAAAGAAACTAGAGGCAATCCCCAACTTCAGAGAGGGAGCCGCTTGGCACTGGTGGCTCTCGAATTTCATGCAAGTTTGGCTTTTGGCTGAGGGTTCCTACCTAACTGGATATCTCCTACTCCTTCTCTACTCTCTCTTGCAAACAGATGTCCCTGCTCCAAAGGGGAACATCTTTCTTCTGATCCTTACCCATTTCTGACCTACCGTGGGGCTTCTCCTTGTTTAGCAAACTCCCATTCCAAAGGATTAAAGAAACTTAAAAAAAAAAAGAAAAAAATCCTAGGAAATGAAAACTTTAACTATCTGGATTTTTTTAAAAAAATGTTTTACATTTCAAGGCAATTACCTGCTTTAAAGTTTTCCCTTCCAAGAGGCTTTTACTGGTTTGCTCCTTGCCTTAGCTTCTGCTCACAGCAGTCAAAGACACTGCAGTGCTAAGGCAAATTTCCCCTTCTCTCTGCTCTTTCTATGACATGTGATACTGTGCATTCAGCAGGAAATAGAGTTTCAAATTAAGTTTTGAGCTAATTCATTGAAGGGGGAGCCTGACTCCTCTGGGAGAAGGGAGGGTGTTAAGGTGGAAAGAAGAGACACCAGAGACATTTCTGGGAGGGTGGGAGGAGGAGAGGGAAATAAATCCTTATACTTTGAATAAAACCAAACAAACACATCCTAAATCAAGAGCAAAATATCCCCAGAGCAGTAAATTGTGTCCATGCTGACGTGTGGAGACTGCAGGAACTCCCATGCAAAACCTAAAGGAAGTTTATAGAGGAAATCTGTGTCCCAGCAAAACCTCAGCTTGTGCAACGCAAAGAAGAGTTCCTGCTGGCACAGACAGACTGAAAATTATCTTGGAAAGACTGGCATCCCAGTTCTGGAGCATCTGAGGACTTTGTTCACAAAAAATATTACTGCAAAAGCCTCTTGTGATGGCTTGAAACAGAGTTGTGCCCTGTGACATTTTCTGTGTTGAGATGGTAGCGTTCAACATCCGCCTTGCATTGACTAACGCCTAATGATAGGACGTTGAGACAAAGCTCCTGTAAGAAAGATTGGAAGTTTGGCTCTTCAAAGCCAAGGCTGGACAGATCTTGAGCATCACCTGCATTCACCTTCAGATCAAAAGGGGAATACTTCCACAAGGGAACAGACAGGACACGGCACCTGGAGCGTTCTCGGAAGGCTCCTGGCACTACGACAGCAGTTATGTGTGGCACTGGTGGCGAAGAAAGCCTTTGGCATCCCTCCTTCCAAGAGGCTGAAGGTAAGATAACTCTCTGGCGTTCTCCCTGCCTTCCTTTTCAAAATTAAACCTTGCTCATGCAGTAGAAGATCCAGTAAACTTTATGCTAGGATAAAAATTAGTCTGAAACTGGACAGGAAGCATTGAGGTGGTAGACTAGCTCTTGGGAGAATGGAGAAGAGAGAGTCAGTCAAAGGATGGGGAATAAGGAAAGTTCTGCATTTTAGTATGCAGTTAGTATGCAAAACTGCATTTTAGTATGCAGTTATCTCAAGGCAGCTGAATCTCTATTGCCTTTTATTCTCTCTAATATGAGGAGAGAATGATAAGCTTCTCCATTATCCTCAACCTGCCCCTAAAGTTCTGGGTTTAAGTCTCTAGCTGTGACAGCACATCAGAGGTACATGTAGAGACCAAAGGAGAAGCATGTCTGCTCTGTGACTTTGCCTAGAAGTGAGTCAGTGCTGGGAACAGCAAGGGCTGCCTTGTCACTTGCTCAGAATGAGGTGGTTTGGCAGACAACTGCATCTGTATAGAGAAGGGAGCAGTTCTCATTGATGACCTGGGATGAGCAGTGGAGGAGGAGTGGGTGTCACTGCTGAGAATGAGCTGGCTTTGCATCACAAGTATTATCCTTTTTCGTTACAGTGACTCACTTCTTAGATTCTCCTCTGAGAAGAAGTTGCTTCACGGTGCTCAGGACTCGGAAGGAGAACCAAAGAGAAAAAGGCTTCAAAACATCATGGAGCTGATGTCAGGGTCTTCAGCCATCTGGTGCCGGATCTGCTCTCCGAAGGAAAGACTGGCACAGGTAACTAACTACCTCTCATCTCATGCCTGTAGCCCTTAGCCTCTCCAGAGGTGGCAAGTCCTGCCTCATGTTCATACCAGAGATATTGTGTAGCCCAGGTGCAAGTGTCCATGCTGGTTTTGAGGCTTCAGCCTCATCACTGAGTGGCAAGGAGCTGGCACCACCAAATAGGTGGGATTTCAGCTGCTTGATGTAGGAAATCAAGAAATTGAAACTGAGAAACAATAAGACAGCAATGTCTACTGGGAACTCCAGGCCTCAGCCATTTTGTGGGCAGATAATAATCTCAGATCCTGTGGTCTCCACTTTGAATATCTAAACTGACCTGCTGTATTCTTTTTTCTTCTACAGACATTCCTGCTGCTGTTGCTACCTTTCCTCCTCTGTGTCCTGTTTTCCCAAGAACCAAGTGTTGCAGGAAGACAGAGCAGAAAGGTTCATGTTCCAAGAGTGCACCAAAGAGCCACCCAGGCAGTGCAAGGCCATGTTCAATGTGCTGTGAGATGGAGCGAAAGAGAGAGCCATTCCAACAGGGTGACGAAAAGGCTGCCAAAGGGCTGAGCTGATCCAGGTAGTCCAAGTACAGAAGAAAGTTGAGGGTGAGAAGATAAACCAAGAAGCAGTACAAAAGAACTAAGTCCGGGCTTTGAGGACAGCAAGGATGCTGGAGTTGTACTGTCAGATGAGATGACACCATACCTCTGCGATTTGGGGACAGTGGGAAGTATCTAGAGAAATTTTCACTATATTGTCAGTTAAAAACATTTTCTCAATTTACCAAATGACTGACCATACATAGGCTATGAACCCTCCATGCTATCAAGGCTGTAACTCATTTTTTCTGAGTTGAGGGTAGCTTAATTTCATGCGGGTATCAGTTTTCAAACCTCAAACAGCTCTGGGGGTTCAGAGAAGCATCTCAGAGGCCAGATGCTTGCCTGAACCGCTTGAGCCTGCACATCTGGGCCGACTGTCTTGCTAGAATGGACACTCTCGTGAGACAGCGGGCGCTTCCTGGGTCTGCATGGCCCAGAGTTACTGCAAGGGCTGGTGTGCTCGTGCTGGCCTTGGCGTGACTGTTTCCATCCAGACCCAGGGAGTGCAAAGGTGCATGCTAACAGCGTGAGTGAGTTGCACCAAGTCTCTTTTGCAAGACCGTTTTGGTTGACATCTCTGTTTAAGGGTCCAGTTGGTACCTCTCTCTTCCAGAGCCAACTGCCCCAGGTATGCGTGCGCGCGTGTCGGTGCGGGTGTACGTGTGTTGAGCAATCAAATCCACCCAACCAAATTCTGCAGTATTTTGTTACATTAGTACTAAGCCAATGGGATCTAATGTGCATTCCAACAACTCTCAGCAGAAAAATGCCCAGGACCATGAAATTTAGTGAAATGATGTGAAGGCAGGCTTCATAGACCTCATCCCAAGATTAGAACAATATTTGATTTTGAGGTGCTTAATTTCCACAGACTCCTGCAAGCAGTCTGACTGCCTGAATAGGCATTTGCTTTTTTCCATAAATTACTGCCTTTTCATCATACAGCCTGCCTGAGTTTCTTGATCATCTGGTCCTGAGGTTTGTACATTTTAAACTGGCTTTTTGGAGTGTGCAGAATTAGATCTCTTGTACTGGTTTTATTTCAATTATTGCTCCTAACAGATTGGAGCATTACTTGTAGCAACCTAGTTTGTATTAGCAGACTCTCCAGGGAGGACTGGTTTGCTCTCCTGTGGCAGAGACTTGCAAATGAAGTGTATATGTGTTGTATCTGTGAAACTTTAGTGGATTTCAGCCACTGGATATTTTTTTTTTCCTTAGGTAATTTTACATTTGACTCTCACAAAATTACTTTAGAGCTTTTATTTTTACTAGAGATATTATTACTCCAGATAAACTTGTACAAAAGGCAAATGCATTGAATTACTACAGGTTATGGGGGCTGAAGCCAAAGGTCTTTGTAAGCCGACATCACTTGTCCTAGATCTGACTGGATCAGACTATTTATTCCTCATGTGTCATGTTGGAGTTACAAGATCACACCTAGCCACTAGAACCTGTCAATAGAATAGTGCTATATTATATTTGCTATTGTAGCAAAGCCTTTTGTAGATTTATACAATAAAACTTTGAAATATCTGCTTAAATTGCTTTGTGTCTTGCTTTCTGGGCTTTCTTCCTTGGTTCATGGAAGACTCTGGTACCTATTGCCTTACAAAAATTGGTTCCTGACAGCTATCTGAGCTTATTTAAATCACAAAATTCTAAAAATCCACAAAATCAACATCTGAAGTAGAAAAATATTTTTCTTGGCAGAAGTGAACGAGTGGCATCAACATAAAATATCCTGGACTTGTTCAGAAGTGGGCTTCAGATGGAGAGAGTATGGATGAATTAAGCAGGCTGCTTAGTCTCCCAGACTGAGTGAGATGGCCCACACGTCTAGATGAAACAGTCTCTTGCAGGTCCATGGTGGACAGAAGAGGGCTCAGGCCAGATCAATAAGGCTGTGCTCTTTCTTGTGCAAGTACAGCTAGGAGAAGCTCTATTCAGAAGGCAGTCACATTCCCATGCTTCAGAAATAATATGCACAGATGTGCTGCAGCAAGTCAATGCAAAGTAGAGAAATCACCAGCATAAATCAACTCTGCCTGACATCCAAAGGGACTTTAGGGCTCAGAATAGCCAGTGCTTAGCAGCACAGGGAGATGGGACCTGTTGCTACAATAATGCTTTGCCACCTGGTGCATTCACCTACAGCAGGGATATATTCAATCCCTTGGGTTCGTTACCTATGCAATA